GTAGGCATGTAGCAGGACAAAGTCCTCAACTCAAGGCTAGGAAGCAAAAGAGAGCAGTGGAGAAGGGGTTGCAATCCCAGAATCCCCTTCAAGGGCAGGCCCTTCCTGACCTGAAGGCTTGGCTTGCAATTGGACTTACTTCCTGGAAGTTGCAACTTCTCCCAATACTGCCACCATGTGGAGAAAACCTTTATCACATGGATCTTTTAGGGAGACTTGTCCAAACCATAGATTTGCCATTGTTATCTTTAACATTGAGATTTGAGAACTCAGGCAAAAGGCAAAATTCAAGTAAAGGTTATCAAGGAGAAAAAGCATAGAGAAAACTGATCACAAGCTGAAAAAAACTGAAATATGAGCTCAAGCCAGGAAATTTACTATTTATCACTTACTATGATGTTCAGAATTAATAACAAATCCATTCAAGCGTAAAGTGTAACTATTCACAGAAAGAACAAGAGGGAAAGGAAAGAAAGGATGGAAGGACAGAGGGAGAAAACACAGGAAGCAAGAGGCTTAGAGAAACAAAACAGAAGATAGGGTGTATTTTATTAAATGTAATAAAAGCCAAGGTCAGAAGACACTGACTTGTTGAAAAAAGTTAACACGATCAAATAACCTAAACTTCTCCATCACTGAACATGAATTTTTGTCTGATTCTTGCCATCATGGGGTTACTTCTTATATAAAAATATCAGTCAATCCTTCACCACCTTTTATTCTCACAGTACAACCCTTGAGGAAGGGATGGAAAGATCAGAGTTCTTGTGTGTAAAGAGTGAAATGTTTCTCACATGAGCAGATGACAGAGAGTGGAGAGGAAACATAGAGAAGGGTATCTTGAAATTGCCGTAGATGAAGAAAGAATGAGGAGCAGCAGTCGCAATCAAAACTATTAAAAAATAATAAAACACAATATAATCTTGGTTATGTTTAAAAAGTTCTGGTGAAGAAAACCAAACATCTCTTTTATTTCCTTTGATACAGTCATTCATTCATTCATCCCTTTGGTGAATTGATGAATTAATTCATTCACTAAAGATAATTGCATCTTTAGTGAGACATACCAAAGTAAGTTTGAAAGATAGTATAGTATGTCTCTGTCTAGAGAAAGAGACTTGACTTTATTAGGGAGAGAGCTGGACCCCACAGTCTGACTATTTGACTGGGCTGAGAAGATTCTGGTGCAATCCAACTCCTATGGGAAATTTTCTTCCTGCTTTGTCCTGCTCTCTTGCATACTGGCATAGAATATTAAAAAATCTTTCTATATATTCAGTATATATAATATGATGTTATGAGAAACCTCTAGACAGTAAAATGGCTGCTATAGTGAAGGCAATGAATATATTCATCACCCCACAGTTACCTTTTTCCCTTTCAGCTGGTCCTGAGGCTTGAACTCTGGGACTGAGTGCTGAACATTTTTGGTCAAGGGTAGCACTCTACCACTTGAACTACAGCTCCATTTCTGGCTTCTTTTTTGTACTTAATTGAAGATAAGCGTCTCACAGATTTGCCTTCCCCAGGCTGGCTTTGAACTGTGATTGTCAGAGACCAACCTCCTGGGTAGCTAGGATTACAGGTATAAGCCACCAACAGCAGGCTAATGCGTACCATTTTTTAATCTGGCTCAAGAGCAGTCGGAAGTCTTGTTAACTGCAGGTGCTGGTGGCTTATACCTATAATTGTAATTACTCAGGAGACGGAAATCTGAAGACCATGGTTCAAAACCAGCCTAGGCAGGAAAGTCTGTGAGACTCTGATCTCCAATTAACCACTAGAAAATTGGAAGTGGCACTGTGGCTCAAAGTGGTAGAGCACTAACTTTGAACCAAAAAAAAAAGCTCAGAGACAGTGCCCAAGCACTGAATTAAAGCTTCAGTACCACACACACACACACACACACAAAAGGCTTGGTAAGTCAGTATACTTAACAAAAATCCCCAATATATTGTTATGTCATGTTGTGCATTGGAACTCTAGATTTGTTCATCCTCATATCTGCTACTTTGAATCTTTTTTAAGTTCCTCTACTGTCAACTCCATCACATACACGGAGCTTAACAGGAGGCGTAGTTCCCTGAAGGGCTGTTCTCTCTCTTTTACTTTGAATTTTTTTCCCTTCCTTTGTCTACTCACACACCATGCTACCAACAGGAACAATCCTGCAAATCCATGAGCTATCAAGCAACATGGCTTCCATATACACACACAAAAAGTAAATAGAGACATACACATAGAGAAATACAAAAGGAAATCTTGCATTGCACAGTTCAAATTGTATCCTGAGTAAGAAAAAGTTAAATGGCCTTGAAAGTACTGAGTGACCAGCACACTTACTGCTCTGATAGCAGAAAACAGCCAATATTCTACAAATTGTGCTAGGGTGTCGTGGAAATGATACACATTTTTATTACATAGTTAGTCTTATTATGGAACAGTATTTTCAATATAAATGCTGCTGATCAACTACAAAGTTATATGCAAAAAATTAAGGATTTGTATACACCAGCTTAAGAGGTATGGAATACATGCAGTAGATAGAGCCAAAGATCCCTTTGGGACTGTCTAAAAGAATACCATTAATTTTTACAGTGTATTTTCAGGGCTGGAGCAGTTCCAGCATTGGCTTTCTATAAAAATCATTTCAAGTTTAGAGTTATGCTATATGCTTGCAGCAACATCACAGAAACAGTAGTGCACCATATGTTGCTACTTAGCAACTTACTCTATAAGTCCCAAAGCATGTACTGATTTGAAAATTGAACAGGAATTATAATTGTTGAGTGTGCTATGAGGCAAGTTGTCTTGGATTATTAAACGATGCAGATGTTTGATGCAATGTAGGAAAAGGAACAAAACTACTTTTTTTTCCTGTAGGATGACTAAAATCTTATTTATGACTGCCTCAAGGGGTAAAATAATTAAAATTCCCTAAAAGAATACCAGGTAATGAATTCTTGAATATACTATATTACAGTAAACAAAAGGAATGTTAAGTGTAAAATTTAGCTAAAGCTATTTAACTTATGTAATTTGTGAAGTTTATTCGCCTCTAGGGGACGTATTATCTTACATTAGTCTAATTTTTAAAACAGCTCATTTAAAAAACATTTTCATATATACTACACATTTTAAAAATAGTTTGCTTCTGGCTCACAAACCTGCCATATCTTTTAAAAGCATAAACGTATTTGGATCTTTTTATTTCTCCTTTATATTTATAATTTTTCCACCGGTATTAGAAATATTCTTAGTAACTCCTGACAGACATATTAAAAAATATAATGCTAGTTGTTTGGTTTCAGTAAGGGCTTAATATTACCAATTGTACTTGAATTTAGAAATCTAAGGAGCCGAGTTGTTATGATGCATATGTTCTAAATTTCCAATCCTTTATCCAAAACTCTTTAAGACAGACATAACGATTCTCTGAAAGGAAGCAGCTGCTTTATAACAGTAATCATTTATTGAGTTTGTGTTTCTACTGTTTCAAACAAATTCAATTAGCCCTTACACTTCAAAACCCTAAAGGCACCAAAGAGATGGTACCGGCTTGCTTTAATCTAATAGTAATACTAAACTTGTCAGTACAGTTTTGGGATTGATGGTTAGAAGAAAATTAATAGTAACATTTTTCATTTTTTAATCAAACAGTCCTATTCAGAACTACCTATGGATGGAGGAGGCTACTTAGTGGGTGGAATTTAGCTGAGAAAGAATTCTAAATGCATAGCTCGCCTTCCGAAGGTATTCTTAGACTGATTGACTCAATTGAATGGGAGGAAATGTAGTCAGGGTCTTTGAACTTTAGGATGACCTTTGTGGCTGAACAATGTAGCAGAGTGTCTAGAACTGGTGCCAGACGAGGCAGTGATCATAATGATTCTTAAATAAATTCAGGCTTCATGGATGCCTGCCTGTTTCTAGTTAAGCAGGAGACATTTCGCTCATGGGCTGCATCTCTAACATATACACATTGGATTTAATTCCGTGACAACAGGCATGAAGAAAAACAATTTTGTACTCTTCTCTGCCCACCTCCCTTCACAGTCATCCAATCTATTCAAACAGATAAATAAGTACTGAAAATTACTATGCTGAATTTAAACAATAGTGACTGATAGGCGAAATTTCAAGCAACTATTATTTTACCATTCTAGAAAAAAAGGTTCATGCCCACTACGTGCTCCCATAAACTCTCCCTACTCTCATTTATCCACTTATTTATTTTTGCCTACAGTGTTTTTATATTTTATGTTACACTGGCACCCTAGGGCAGTTATAATTTTGCTTTAAATGCTCTCTCTGGATTAAAAGGCCTGGTCTTAAGTATCTAAAAATAAATGACCAAGCATTTACTTTTATAAATGTAACCATCAACATTCTCATTGGACTTTGGTGTTGTCACTTCTCATGATTAAATAGCATGTCAGCCATTCCCATTGAAATGGATACAAGGTGCCCTTGAAGGCTTTCAATCATATCTTGCTTGGGGGCTTGAAAACTAACCCCCAACACGCACACTCCACCCCAGAAGAGCCTCAAAGCAATGTATAAGGGCCCATTGGCCATGTGATGTTGGTGAGGAAAGTAACATGCTGTTGAAAATAGCCCCAACAGTTGACAATGAAAGCTATTTGTGACATGTGTTGCTTATAATGATTAACTTGTCTACAGTCAGAAGCGCAAATAACCTGCACCTGTAAAGACTTTATTTCCTAAAGGTAAAACAACTGTTTAGGAAAGATCACGCTGGCAAAACAGCTGCTTGCCGTTCTGGAGAGGAAACACTGTAGCATCTTTTCACAAATGCCAACTCTGGTATTTTATCAGCTCTATCTCATTAACTGGAAACAAGGCTTAAATGCTTTGTTTATAAATTATGATTATTCCTGATTGCGGCAGTTACTGATAGTGCGACTCATTTGCAATGCAACTCTTTGAATTTGTTTAATTACAATTTGAAACAAGGCAGAGAAGATTAATTAACCCACCTGGCTGGCTGGCACATACTCCTGGCTCGGCTCTGTCATGTTCATATACATGTTCTCACCGTCAAACTGCGAATGAAATAAGAGTAAACATTCAGCAATCTTGACTGTGGGTATGTGTTGTTTTTGTTTTTGTATTTTTTGTTGTTCACTATCAAACTGGAAAACAGTAGCCATTAAAAAAAAAAAGACTGCGCCTGGGAATATGAAAAAAATCGGTCACAGCAAGCAAGCCACATCTTTTCTTTGATGTTTCTGTTGTCATCCTTACTGACCCTGGATGTCAGTGATTTGGAGTAATTAGTGCTCTAGTAATTACAGCAAGCAAGCAAGAAATGAATGGTTTCCTTTCATCTGCAATCTGTTTTAAAACAAAATGGCTCATTTTGCACACCATGTATACATATTGCAGTGAGATTGTAATGAAGAATTAAATGAATGGCATGGTTTCTGAAAGAAAAGAATAATGAAAAATAACACAGAGGCACTGCCCAGTGCATTATGAGTTTAGCTCTGAAAAGGAAAAAAAATGCCGTTTTCATAATAGACTAAAACTGGTTTCAACATCAAAGCCTTCCAATTAAAAAAAATTAACTTCATCGTAATATTCATAAATAGTATATGCTACCATAACCATGGCTCAGAATGGATAGAAGAATAATGGCTAGCAACAAAAGCTGCAGGCACAATGATTACATTTTTCTTTCTGAAATTTTCCAGAGCTACAGAATGAATGTAAGGATGGCAAGTGCCTAAAAATTTAGCCACACATTTGCAAGTTAGGAAGACAAGGAAAGGAGGGTATTTTCAGGGTAGTTCAATTGCTTAACTATTAAACAGTTCAAGCCACAGCCATAACAACAACAAATACTTTTCATGATTTCAGTTTTTGAAGGCAGTAATCACTCCATTCAGACTTAATCCTCTGCTATGTTTAGTCCCTTGATAAATGGGCAAAGCAGTCCTCTTTAGAGAAAGAATTTTTCCCAAGGTAATAATCAAATGGACAAATACAACCAACTTCAAAGAATTGGTTTTGAATATAGCTGAAACAGACTTTGTAGACAAGGAAAATGAACAATGTTAAAAGTTACTTTTCAAAACTGATAGAGGAACAAGTGCATGCTAATAAAGACGTTTTAATACTACCATATATATACATATATATGTGTATATATATATGTATATATATATATATATATTTGGTGTTACTTGCAAAAAGAAACAAACTTTATTTATAGGCATTATATTCCATTAGCTTTTAACTTCATATAAGAAGGTTATCCAAACACCAGGGACTTACCAAGGCCTCTAAGCCTGCAGTCAGCACTAGGGGGCACCTCAAAGATTTACCTAAACCTGTGTTCTAGAGTGACTGATACATTCACTGTATTAAATTCAAAGTCAAAGAATTCCTCACATATTACCTGTAAATATATCTCATGTCATGTAAACAACTTATCTAAACAGATATGAGTATTTATCATCTACTCTGGTGGTTTAGTAGGAATCAGAGATAACACACAAAGGAAGAAAGAACTGGATTTGGTCACAGTGATGATTAACTTAAAGGCCTTGAGTTTCAGTGACTTACCCAAGGGTGCTATTCCATGGATCAGACAAACTTCAGCCTACAGGTAGTCTAGCTCAAGTCTACTTCTTATACATAACAACTCAAGACCTGACAAAGAACTCCACTGAGCATTTTCCAGCCTCATCTGTTGTTGGAGTACACTGGCTTGTTTGCAAATATTTTTAATGCTGAGATGCCAAAGCACAGTTTAAAATATGGACAGTTTCTTTGACTGTAACAAACTAACGCAAACAGAAGTAGTGAAGTGAATCAATTACTCCACTGCCTGTGCATATTCTATAAATGTGTTACTTTCTATTTCATCTTCTCTAACTCATTTGCTAAATCTGGTGTCATTCTCAAGCCAACTAAGACTTTGAAGTTTTGGTTTTAGTCTATCCAAAGTGTAAGTTAGTTGAGTATATCATGTTACTGCTTTGGATAATTTTTTTTTTTTGCTCAGAAAGTACCAATACTAAATAAATTTGGAAGCAAGACTGAAACAGCATTTTACAATAAAAGACATGAGGTTATAAACATTGTACCTATTTTTTTTAGTAATTCCCACATCATATTTTTTGTTCTCTGTACATCCTTTCACTAGTATGTATTAGTTGGTTTAACTTATGTTAAATATTATTATTATTATCCAAATTTTACAAATGATAAATGCAAAGACACGTGGAACTTCAGAGGCTTAAAATCACTTAACTTAGAAGAGGCATGACTGGGATTCAGACCTAAGCAGACCAACACATGCTCTGGACCACTAGAGCATATCAACATATTCTGAGTCATAATGATGAGCGAGCTGTCAACTCTGAAAATAACATTAATAAATTATTGTAGCAGAGTAAGAGCTCTATGGTTGAGTATCCCTAATCTGAAGATGAGAAATCTGAAATGCTTCAAAATTCCAAACATTTTGAGCACTGACATTATGGCAACAAATTGGAAATTCCCCAGCTGGTCTCATGTTGCAGTCAAAGTGCAGGTGCACTACTTTTAGTTCAGAAAATTACCTTCAGATTGTTGTGGGTATGTATCTATATACACATAGATACATATATGTATACACATATATATGTAAGAAACAGATGAATGTCTTATGTCTTGTTTCAGTTTAAGGTCTAGCCCCAAGACATTACACTATATGGATGTAAATATTCTCAAATCTGGTAATATATAACATTTGAAGTATTCGTATTCCAAGAACTGCAGAAAATAGGATATTTTACCTATATTTCAATGATCTTCAGATACTGGGCAGAGATTTGTGGTTTTATGAGGTTCCTTCCCCACAAAAAAGTTTGAGAGTAAATGGACAGTTTAGTTGTTAGCCAGGAAGAATTGCACTAGATGCTTAAAAGCATCTAAGGGTGTTTAATTATTCATTTTTATGTGTCAACTTGATTAGGTAAGTAGTTCCCAGATGTTTGGTCAGTGTTTATCTTGCTGCATCTATGAGAGTGTGTTTGGATAATGCTGGTATTTGAATTGGTAGACTGAGTAAAGCAGGTGGCACTCCAAAGGCAGGTAGGTGAGTATCATTCAATGAAGGCCTGGAATCCTCCTTCCAAACAGCTGACCTAACCAAGACATTGTCTCTCCTTAAATCTGAAATAGGCTAGATTTCAGGACCTACACATTCAGTTTCTCCCGGAACTCCAGCTTGCCAAATGCAACTACAAATGCAAGGACTTCTCAGCCTCTATAATCACGTGAACCAGTTCTTCCTCTCTTTTTTGGACATGGCATTACCTATCATTTATAATGATTAAGTTACCCTATGATTTAATATTTAGTTACCCTATGATTTAATATTTAAAGCACATTACAAATAAGAATGTTGTTAGTGAGTAAACACTCTTCACTTAGGAACTGGCTGGAAAGATGCTGTCTATGATTTGCTCTTTTGGGATCTTCTACTTCCTTGTGCAGCTTAAGATTTTAAAATCTTTTCACTCACTTCTGTATCTTTTGCTTTCCCAAAGTCCATAGCAAAATCTTTTGGATGAGCTAGCAATTTCAGAGGGAGAGCCAGCTCTTCTTTAGATCTCATTCTCCTCCCCCTCTCTCTCTCTCTGTCTCTCTGTCTCTCTCTTTCTTTCTTGTGCTGGTCCTGTGGCTTGAATATTGTTGCTTAGCTTTTGCACTCAAATCTAGCAGTCTACCACTGAGTCACAAGGCCACTTCTGGCTTTTGGTGGTTACATGGAGGTATGTGTCTAATGGGCTTTAGTAACTGGGCTGCCTTTGAACTGTGATCCTCAGGTTTCAACCCCAATAGTTAGGATTATAGTTGTAAGCCACCAGTGCCCAGTTATAAGAAATCTTTCTGTCTATGATTCTCTCTCTCCATCTTTCCCCAAGTACACACACACACATACTGTTGGTTTTGTTTCTCTAGAGAACCCTAATAAAAGTAGTTTCTTTGATTACAATGAGAATATTCAGAAATCCTTCAAAAGCATTTCTGAAGGCATGGTAGTACACACTTATAATCCAAGTACTTAGAAAACCTGAACTCGGTCATTAGTTTGGGGCCAACTTGGGCTACATAGCAAAATCACAACTCTAAAAAACAACAAATAGGCAAACTAAACCTTCCCTCCATAGTTCTGAAGGCCTTACAGTGTGCTAACATTTCTTTCATGCTATCAGTTGATAGCGATGTTGCTTTGCTATGAGTCTGTGGTCTTGTTTCCTAACATGAAAATTTCTTGTGCTTATAAACGCCATGCACAATCACGCCCTTCGTTAATAATACCTTCCTTCCCTTCTACCTCTTGAAATGTTTCCTAGATATGTCAGTTCCTCTAAGACCTGGCTATTATGAGGCTCTGTGCTGTCCATCTTGGAAATCTTGCCATCTTTCACCAAAGTAACTTACCTATGTAACTTTGTGACCATATATTTTGACAACCATGTGTACTCTTTTTAAAAAATAAATAAATAAACAGGGCTGGGAAGGTGGCTCAGTGGTAGAGTGCTTGCCTCTTTCATACATGAGGCCCTGGGTTTGATTCCTCCGCACCACATAAGCAGAAAAAAGTCGGAAGTGGCACTGTGGCTCAAGTGGTAGAGTGCTAGCCTTGAACTGAAGAACAGAAGGACAGCGCCCAGGCCCAGAGTTCAGCCCCCATGACTGACAAAAATAAAATAAAAAAAAAAACATTTATTTTCTGGTTAAAAAAAAAGAATATCTGCTGTATTTGACTATGAGCTACCAGAGATCACATTGCACATTTTAGTTATCTTTAGTGCCTCTTTATCCTAGGATGAACATGAAGTAAGCCCTTAGAAAAGGTTGCGTAATTAATGACATTTGAATTGTATTTGCTTGATTTTTTTTTTTTTGCCAGTCCTGGGGCTTGAGCTTTGGGCCTGGGCTCTGTCTCTGAGCTTCTTTTTGCTCAAGGCTAGGGCTCTACCACTTAAACCACAGTGCTACTTCTGGCTTTTTCTGAGTAGTTTATTGGAGATAAGTGTCTCAT